TTTTTGTATTTTTAGTAGAGACAGGGTTATGCCATGTTGGGCAGGCTGGTTTCAAATTCCTGGCCTCAAGTGATCCACCTGCCTTGGCCTCCCAAAGTGCTGGATGGGATTACAGGCATGAGCCACCATGCCTGGTTCTCATTGGCATCTTTCAAAGATCAAACATTTTTAATTTCGATGAATCAATTTGTCAATTTTTTTATATTTCATGATTTTTTGTGTTGTAAGAAACCTTTGCTGACTCCAACATTTACAAATCTTGTATTTTTTTTTTTTCTTAGAATTTACGTAGTTTTAGGTTTTGCATTTAGGCTTATGATCTATTTTAGGTCAATTTTTGCATATGGTATAAGGTAAAAGATGATGTTCATTTTTTTCCATGTAAATATCTGGTTGATCAAGCACCATACATTGAAAAGACTTTCCTTTGGCCGGGCGCAGTGGCTCACGCCTGTAATCCCAGCACTTTGGGAGGCCGAGACGGGCGGATCACGAGGTCGGGAGATCGAGACCATCCTGGCTAACACGGTGAAACCCCGTCTCTACTAAAAAATACAAAAAACTAGCCGGGCGAGGTGGCGGGCGCCTATAGTCCCAGCTACTCGGGAGGCTGAGGCAGGAGAATGGCGTGAACCCGGGAGGCGGAGCTTGCAGTGAGCTGAGATCCGGCCACCGCACTCCAGCCTGGGTGACAGAGCGAGACTCCGTCTCAAAAAAAAAAAAAAAAAATGAAAAGACTTTCCTTTCCCTATTGAATTGTTTTTGCACCTTTGTTCGGTCTATCCATATATTTATGGGTTTACTTCTAGATACTGTATTCTGTTTTATTGATACATTTATCTTCCTTTATGTGGATAAATTTTTTTTTTTTTTTTTTAAATAGAGACGGGGCTGGGTATGGTGGTTTGTGCCTGTAATCCTAGCACTTTGGGAGGTCAATTGGGAGGATTGCTTGAGGTCAAGAATTCAAGACCAACCTGGCCAACATATTGAGACCCCTGTCTCTATTTAAATTATTTTTAAAAAGAAAAAAAGATAAAAAAAAAATATATAGACGGGGTCTCCCTGTCTTGCCTAGGTTGGTGTCAAACTCCTAGGCTCGAGCGATCATCCCATCTTGGCCTCCCAAAGAGCTGGGATTACAGGCAGGAGCCATTGCGCCCAGTCATGTGGATACAAAATTGTCTTGATCACTGTACAGAACTGTCTTAATTACTGTAAATCTTTAAGTCAGGTAGGGCTAGTTCTTGTTAGACCTCCGATTTTGCTCTTTTTGTTTAAATCTGTTTTGGCTATTACAGGTCTTTTGCATGTCTATATACATTTTCAAATTATTTTATCACCTTTTACAGAAAAGCTTACTGGAATTTTGATTGGGATTGCTTTGACTCTTTAGATCTATTTGGAGAGAACTGCTATCTTAAAATGGAGTTTTCTGATCCATGGACCTGGTATCTCTCTCCACCTAGCTAAGTCTTCATTAGTTTCTCTCTGCCATCTTTTACAGTGTTAAGTGTACAGTGCTTGAACATCTTTTATTAGATGTAATCCTATTTTATGTTTTTTAGTGCTTCTGTAAATGGAATTGCTTTTGAAATTTTGAGTTCTTTGGTATTAATGTATAAAACATATTTTTGTGTATCACTCTTAGTTCCAGTAGTAGGTGTGTAGATTCCCTGGGATTTTCTGCTGACATAGTCATCATCTGCAAATAGGAATGGTTTTATTTCTTCCTTTCTGATCTTTATGGCTTTTGTTTTTCTGCCTTATCAAAATGTCTAGAACACCCACAATATTAAATAGAGTGGTGATTGCCTTGTTTACAATCTCAGGGGAAACCTTCTATCTTTAGGTATGATGTTTGTGTTGTGCTTTTTTGTGGATGAGATGTCCTTTATCATTTTGAGAAAATTTCCTTCTATTTCTAGTTTTGTTTATTATGAATGGGTGTTGATGATTTTTTTGCATCTATTGGAGCAATCATGTATTGTTCTCTTTTATTCTGTTAATACATCACATATTCACCTGTTAAAGTGGTGAATTACATTTGTTAATATTTGGATGTTAAGCCAACCTTGCATTCTTGGAATAAACTCTACTTGGTTATGATATATCTTCCTTTTTATATTGGAATATATTGCTAATATTTCATATTATTCTATTCTAATATGTTGGATTCCATTGTTAATGCTTTGTTAAGGATTTTGTGTCTACACTCAAGAGGGATATTGTTCTATGATTTTTATTTTCTTTTTTTATAAGGTTTTAGTACTAGGGCTATTCTGGCCTCATATAATTAATTGGACCATGATCTCTCTTCCTTTTTTGACAAAGTTTTATAAGATCAATTTTATTTCTTCATTGTATCTATGATAGAATTTGCTATTAAAACCTTCTGGGTTCTTTTTTTTTGGGAAGATATTTGGTAATTTCAATTCTTTTACTAGGAAAAGCTATTCAGATGCTTTATTTCTTCTTGTATGGATTTTCTTTTTTTTTTTCTTTTGGGACAGTGTCTCACTCTGTTGCCCAGGCTAGAGTGCAGTGTGTCACGGTCTCAGCTCACTGCAGCCTCTGCCTCCCGGGTTCAAGCAGTTCTCATGCTTCTATCTCCTGAGTAGCTGGGATTACAGACATATGCCACCGTGCCTGGCTAATTATTATTATTATTTTTTTTTTGAGACGGAGTCTCGCTGTGTCGCCCAGGCTGGAGTGCAGTGGCCGGATCTCAGCTCACTGCAAGCTCTGCCTCCCGGGTTTTTATGCCATTCTCCTGCCTCAGCCTCCTGAGTAGCCGGTACTACAGGCGCCCGCCACCTCGCCCGGCTAGTTTTTTGTATTTTTTAGTAGAGACGGGGTTTCACCGTGTTAGCCAGGATGGTCTCGAACTCCTGACCTCGTGATCCGCCCGTCTCGGCCTCCCAAAGTGCTGGGATTACAGGCTTGAGCCACCGCGCCCGGCCTAATTATTTTTATTTTTAGTACAGCTGGGGTTTCACTGTATTGGCCAGGCTGGTCTGGAACTCCTGGCCTCAAGTGATCTACCCATCTTGGCCTCCCAGAGTGCTGGGATAACAGATGTGAGCCACCGTGCCAGGCTTCTTTTTTTTTAGACGGAGTCTTGCTCTGTTGCCCAGGCTGGAGTGCAGTAGCACAATCTCAGCTTACTGTAACCTCCACCTCCCAGGTTCAAGCAATTTTCCTGCCTCAGCCTCCCGAGTAACTGGGATTACAGGCACCTGCTACCATGCCCAGCTGATTTTTATAGTTTATTAGAGATGGGGTTTCATCATATTGGCTAGGCTGGTCTCGAACTCCTAACCTCAGGTGATCCACCCACCTCGGCCTCCCAAAGTGCTGGGATTACAGGCGTGAGCCAGTGCACCCGGCCTTCCTGGCCTCTTATATGGATTTTAAATCGTGTTTTCAAGAAATTTGTTCATTTCATCCAAGTTGTTATATTTGTTAGCACCATATTTTCTTGTTATCCTTTTAATATCTGTAGATTCTAAAGTGATAACACTTTTTTCGTTACAGATATGAGTGATTGGCGTCATCTTGTATTTTTCATGATGGATCTACCTTTGTGGGGGGTGTCAGTGTTGTTGATCATTTCAAATAACCAGTTTTTGGCTTCATTAATTTTCCTTATTGTGTATTTGTTTTCTGTTACATACATTTCTGCTCTTTATTATTTCCCTCCTTACTTTGGGTTAACTTGCCTTTTTTTTTTTTTTTTTTTTTTTTTTTTGAGATGGAGTCTCGCTCTGTAGCTAGGCTGGAGTGCAGTGGCGCAGTCTCGGCTCACTGCAACCTTAGCCTCCTGGGTTCACACCATTCTCCTGCCTCAGCCTCCTGAGTAGCTGGGACTTCAGGCGCCCGCCACCACGCCCAGCTAATTTTTTGTATTTTTAGTAGAGATGGGGTTTCACTGTGTTAGCCAGGATGGTCTCTATCTCCTGACCTCGTGATCCACCCGCCTCAGCCTCCCAAAGTGCTAGGATAACAGGTGTGAGCCACCGCACCTGGCTTAACTTGCTTTTTGTTCTGTTTTGTTTTAAAGCTTTTCAAGGTGGGGAAATCTGTTTTTAAAGCTTTTGTTTTTGAGGGACTTGGTTTGATTTATTTAATAAACATTTGCTAAGGTCCTATGATTCGATGTAGCGGGCACTGTCACGCTCTATCAGGTCTTAAACCAATGAAGACAAGTAGGGCAAGTTGCTTACAGGATGGTGGACATTGATGCATGTCTACAGTGTGTTGTCTTTTTTCATTGCCGTTTTTTTAGTTGGAGATGGGGTCTCACTGTGGTACTTAGGCTGGATCACAGTGGTTATTCACAGTTACTATCCTAGTGCAACTGCCTGCAACTCCTGGGCTAAAGCGATTCGCCTGCCTCAGCCTCCCAAGTATCTGGGACTGCAGGTGCACACCACCACACCTGGCTACAGTGCAGTGTGTTATCAAAAGTGCATACCCAATAATCTTGAGGGTTTTGTTGTTGTTGTTAGTGTTGTTTGTTGTTGTTGTTGTTTGAGACAGAGTCTTGCTCTGTCGTCCAAGTGGGAGTGCAGTGGCATGATCTTGGCTCACTGCAACCTCCACCTCCTGGGTTCAAGTAATTCTCCTGCCTCAGCCTCTGGAATAGCTGTAACTACAGGCACATGCCACCACACCTGGCTAATTTTTGTGTTTTTTATTAGACACAGGGTTTCACCATTTGGCCAGGCTGGTCTGTAACTCCTGACCTCAAGCAATCCACCTGCCTTGGCCTCCCAAAGTGTTGGGATTATAGGCGTGAGCTACCGCAGCTGGCCAATCTTGAGATCTTTTTAAAAACCAAGTGCCACATCATTTGAAATTAATCCCTTTGGATAGGAGCCACTTGTAATCATCACTGCTTAATACTTTCTTACTCAATTTCTTAATTATCTGTTATTACATAATTAAAAGGAAAGTCTTTCATGGTAGTGACCTAAGTGTTTTGTTCTGTCTTACAGATAATTTATTGTTTGTAATCAACTCCATCAAGCAAGAGATTGTAAACCGGGTACAGAATCCAAGAGATGAGAGAGGACCCAACATGGGGCAGAAGCTTGAAATCCTCATTAAAGATACTCTCGGTAAGAAGAATATTAGATAAATTCATAACGATTAATAACATGTATAAGATGTATGATTTAAGGGGATATTAAAAGTTTTTAGTTGAAGGAAAAACTCAAGTGCTCTCATTGTAATCACTCTCCTTTATGAGTAATTTTATCTTCTGAGATTTAGTGTTTCATAAGCATGTGTTGCAGGTGACCACAGTTTGTAATTTAGACTTAATCATGAAACTATTTTAACATTTAAGAAAAACAAACTTCTAGCAACTTTAACCTTTCATGGAGGACAAAAGGTCCCAGAGCTGTCAAGCCTGCAGTTTGCACTTTAGTGTAGAGATTCTTACTTGTTTTACTCAGTAATGCATTTCACAGGATTCTAACAAACTTGGCTCTCTGGTTTCCCATCCCAGAAAAGATTGCACAATGTGGGGAGGATCAGAGAGGCAGGGATCTAGACGTCAGGCCAACTGAGAGCCAACAGGGAAGAGAGAGCTAGCTAGTATAGACGTAGACATGAGAACTCAGCTCAGCTGCTATAGGAGAAAATCACTGACAAACAGTAGCATCCAAGGCATCCAGCATTATACAACTCACGAAAACCCCCAAAATTTAATTTACACAATAAAAGGTCAAATGTTTTTCTTGAACAAAACTATATTTATATTGAAAACAATCAGGTGGAAAGTAGACCCTAAACATCAGTATTTTCCTCAGCAATCACTTACTTCCTGCTTCCATATGGATTAACTGTGTGCTTGACCTTTTCTTCAAATGGGTTGATGCTATTTTAATTTTTTATGTATTGTTTCATAGCATTTCTTTCTTTTCTTTCCTTTTATTTTTAAAAGCATTGTTATTCTTCCTTTGTTAGCTACAGGGGGAAATTTAACATTACAAGAAAAAGTTATTTTTACCTTTTTATTTTTTAATGTAAATATTTTATATGTTTGGTAAGCTTATGTACTCCTTTACACTTGAAAGTTAGTTTTACCAGTTATAAAATCCTCAACTCATATTTTCTTTCCTTGAGTATCTTGCATATGATTCTCCATTTTCTTTTGGTGTAAGTGTTGCTATTGAAAAGCTAATACTGGCTGGGCGTGGTGGCTCATGCCTGTAATCCCAACACTTTGGGAGGCCAAGGCAGGCGGATCACTTGAGGTCAGGAGTTCGAGACCAGCCTGGCCAACATGGTAAAACCTCGTCTACTAAAACTACAAAAATTAGCTGGGCGTGGTGGCGGGCGCCTGTAATCCCAGGTACTTGGGAGGCTGAGGCAGGAGAATCGCTTGAATGCAGCAGGGGTGGAGGTTGCAGTGAGCCGAGATCACGCCACTGCACTCTAGCCTGGGTGACAGACAGAGCGAAACTCTGTCTCAAAAAAAAAGACACAGTGGCTCAAGCCTGTAATCCCAGCACTTTGGGAGGCTGAGACGGGCGGATCACGAGGTCAGGAGATCGAGACCATCCTGGCTAACACGATGAAACCCTGTCTCTACTAAAAAATACAAAAAAAACTAGCCGGGTGAGGTGGCGGGCGCCTGTAGTCCCAGCTACTCGGGAGGCTGAGGCAGGAGGATGGCGTAAACCCGGGAGGTGGAGCTTGCAGTGAACTGAGATCACGCCACTGCACTCCAGCCTGGGTGACAAAGTGAGACTTTGTCTCAAAAAAAAAAAAAAGAAAAGCTAATATTGCCTAATTATTTTTTCCTTATAAGTACTTTGCTGTTTTTGCCTAGGTGTCAAAAGGATTTTTCCTTTAAATACCAGTGATTTTACTAGGTTATATCTTAGAGTTGGTAATTTTTAGTTGACATTTTTATGTTTATAGTGTGCTCTTTCAATATGTACTTTCAAATGTTTTTAGTGTTTGATCTGTTCCCTTGGTTTGCTTTTCTTCTGTGGGGACTCACATCTATAGGTTGGCTCTTCTTCGCCCATCTTTAGTATTTGTTTGTCTTTCTTTTCTCTCTCTCTCTCTGTCTCTCTCTCTCTCTCTCCTTTCTCTCCTTCCTCTCTCTCCTCTCTTTCCTTTCTTTCTTTCAACAGTGTTTTTCTGTCACCCAGGCAGTAGTGCAGTGGCACAGTCTTAGCTCACTGCAGCCTCCACCTCCCAGGTTCAAGCGATTATCCTGCCTCAGCCTCCTGAGTAGCTGGGATTACAGGCATCTGCCACCACACCTGGCTAATTTTTGTATTTTTTAGTAGAGATGGAGTTTTACCATGTTGGCCAGGCTGGTCTCGAACTCCCAACTTCAAATGGTCTTCCTGCCTTGTGTCACTTTTTCTTGAATCATTTTTATCTCTTCATTTCTTTTTTAACGTTATTTCTCCTTTTTGCCTTCTGTTTCTCTTAAAGCATTATTTGCTGTCATTAGTTGCTGATCTTAGGTTCCTTTTAATTTCAGGAATTTTCCCCTGTATTTCTGATTCTTTTCTGAATTCTGTCACCTTATTTCTTAGTTATTCTATTTCTGATTTATGTTCTTTCATGTATCGTGCCATTTTCTTTAATGTCTTTTATTCTCTTTTTTCTTAGAAAAAGTTGTGGAATTCTGACCTTGATACTTCTCTGTTGTTCATATATATATATGAAATTAGTTCCTCTGAACTTCTAAAAGGAGGTTTGGTTCAGAATAGCTTTTCTTTTTTCACAGAGTCTCCGCTTTTCAGTTAACATTTAAAAACGTGGCAGCCGGGCGCAGTGGCTCACACCTGTAATCCCAGCACTTTGGGAGGCTGAGGCAGGCAGATCATGAGGTCAGGAGATCAAGACCATCCTGGCTAACGTGGTGAAACCCTGTCTCTACTAAAAATACAAAAAATTAGCTGGGCGTGGTGGCACGTGCCTGTAGTCCCAGCTACTCGGGAGGCTGAGGCAGGAGAATTGCTTGATCTCAGGAGGCAGAGGTTGACAGTGAGCCAAGATTGTGCCACTGCACTCCCACCTGGGTGACAGAGCGAGACTCTGTCTCAAAAAAACAAAACAAAAAAACATGGCACGCCAGCTTTGGTGGCTTTTTCCTGTAATCCTAGTCACTTGGGAGACTGAGGCAGGAGGATCATGTGAGGTCAAGATTCTAGACCAGCCTGGGCAACATATCTCTGAAACAAAAACAAAAAATGGCACCTGGCTTTCTGAGATTTCTTTTTTTTTTTTTGAGGCGGAGTCTTGCTCTATCACCCAGGCTGGAGTGCATTGGCACAATCTCGGCTCACTGCAAGCTCCGCCTCCCAGGTTCACGCCATTCTCCTGCCTCAGCCTCCTGAGTAGCTAGGACTACAGGCACCCACCACCATGCCTGGCTAATTTTTTTTGTATTTTTAGTAGAGATGGGGTCTCACCATGTTAGCCACGATGGTCTGGATCTCCTGACCTCGTGATCTTCCCGCCTCGGCCTCCCAAAGTGCTGGGATTACAGGCGTGAGCCACTGTGCCCGGCCCTGAGATTTCTTTTTCTGCTCCCCTCCCTCATTTTATATGGACCATCTCTGTTTCATGTCTTTAGTTCCTTTCTTGCTCGATTTTAATTTCAACCCCAGGGTTTTTTGTTTTGTTTTGAGACAAAGTCTCACTCTGTCGCCCAGGCTACAGTGCAGTGGCGTGATCTTGGCTCACTGCAGCCTCTGCCTCCCAGGTTCAAGTGATTTTCCTGCCTCAGCCTCCCCAGTAGCTTGGATTACAGGCACACACGACCATGCCCGGCTAATTTTTGTGTTTTTACTGGAGATGGGGTTTTACCATGTTGGCCAGGCTAGTATCAAACTCCTGACATCAAGTGATCTGCCTGCCTTGGCCTACCAAAGTGTTAGGATTACAGGCCTGAGCCACTGTGCCTGGCCAGTTTTTTTTGTTTTTATCATGGCTTGCTCTTGTCCTGCAAGAGTCCTGGCTGGTCCATTTTCAGAGTTCACAGAGGCTCAACTGTGCGCCCCTTCACTTCCAACTGTGGGCTCCTTCACTTCCAACTGTGGGCTCCTTCACTTCCAACTGTGGGCTCCTTGTACTCACCTTGTATTCAATATTGGGTTGGAGAAAATCCCTCACAGCTTTAGCTGCAGTTCTCAAGTTGACCGTGCTGTACTTGCCAGTGGGTAACCTATTGGCTATTTAGACATTTTTTTTTGTTTTCATTTGCATTACTTCCTTTTGGCCCATCCACATAAATATTGATAATGCTTTTGCCGTACATGTCTTAAAGATTTTGGTAGTTTGTTCCCACCTTCTTGAATGTTGGGGTTCCTAGGGATACCTTATCACTTGTAAATATTTTCCATGGGTTTATGGTTTTGCCATTTAGTGCTGTTTTTATATGGGGAAATGAAGATTAAAAATCTATGTGGTGGCTGAATGCAGTGGCTCATGCCTGTAATCCCAACACTTTGGGAGGCTGAGGTGGGAGGATCGATTGAGGCCAGGAGTTCAAGACCAGTCTGAACCTGGAAGGTTGAGGCTTCAGTGAGCAGTGATTGCACCACTGCACTCCAGCCTGGGCAACAGAGTGAGACCCTTTCTCAAAAACAACAATAACAACAGCTATACAGCTCTATTCCCAGAATTTGCCTCTAGACCAGTTTAAATGGGTTGGAGTTTTTTTTCTTTTCTTTTTGAGACAGTCTCTTTCTGTCACCCAGGCTGGAGTACAGTGGCACTATCTTGACTTACTGCAACCTCTGCCTCCTGGGTTCAAGTGATTCTTACGCCTCAGCCTTCCGAGTAGCATGTGCTACCACGTGCGGCAATTTTTTTTTTTTTTTCTGAGACGGAGTCTTGCTTAGTTGCCCAGGCTGGAGTGGAGTGGCGCGATCTCAGTTCGCTGCAAGCTCTGCCTCCTAGGTTCATGCCATTCTTCTGCCTCAGCCTTCCAAGTAGGTGGGACTACAGGTGCCCGCCACCATGCCCAGCTAATTTTTTTTTTTTTTTTTGTATTTTTAGTAGAGATGGGGTTTCACCATGTTAGCCAGGATGGTCTCGATCTCCTGACCTCGTGATCCACCTGCCTCGGCCTCCCAAAGTGCTGGGATTACAGGCATGAGCCTCCGCGCCTGGCCTAATTTTTGTATTTTTAATGGAGACGGGGTTTCACCATGTTGGCCAGGCTGGTCTCAAACTCCTGATCTCAGGTGATCTGCCTGCCTCGGCCTCCCAAAGTGCTGGTATTACAGGTGTGAGCCACCGCGCCCGGCCGACAAATACATTTCTTTTCTTTCTTTTTTTTTTTTTTTTGAGACAGAGTTTCACTCTTGTTGCCCAGGCTAGAGTGCAGTGGCACGATCTTGGCTCACCACAACCTCCACCCCCCGGGTTCAAGCAGTTCTCCTGCCTCAGCCTCCCGAGTAGCTGGGATTATAGGCATGTGCCACCATGCCTGGCTAATTTTGTGTTTTCAGTAGAGATGGGGTTTCTCCATGTTGGTCAGGCTGGTCTCGAACTCCCGACCTCAGGTGATCCGCCTGCCTCAACCTTTCAAAGTGCCGGGATTACAGGCATGAGCCACCGTGCCTGGCTGACAAATATATTTCTGTTTCCATCCTTTTTATTTTTCTTAATACTTTAAAAAATGTACTTAAACCTCTGTTATTTGATTTACTGATTTTACCTTTTGGTCTTACTATGGAAGATGAGGAAGATGAGAAAATCTACATACTTACGCTGCTCCCACCTTTCTCCCTCTTCTCTTCCAACATTTCTTATTCATTCATTCACTTTTTTTAAATGAAGTAAAGGAAACTTAAACTGTATCCAGTAATTATAAAAATGACCCAAAACATCTTTCAGGTCTATATTTTCAGTTTCATGGGTGAAGCCCACCCATGGAACTTGGTGAGTTTAGAGTAATTGGAAGAGACTGGCTGAGAGAACAGGGAAAACCAGGACATGGGAAGCAGTGCCTGTTGGCAGGCTTTGGGTTTGGGTTTGGACTGTTATTTGGACTGTTACACTTGTCATCTACCTCACTTTAAATGTTGGTTTACGATTTTCCATGGCTATTCCTGGTTTGACAGTAATATGAAGGGTAGCATTGTTTTCTGAGCTGCAATAACAAGTGCCAGGGAATTCATTTGGGACCAGTATCAAGCTGAGGGCCACACCCGATCCTCAGATGTTACCAGCTCCTTCCCTTCCCTTCATGGCCTTCCATTTCTGTGTCTACATGTGCCTTTTATTCTTTTTTTCAGGTCTACCAGTTGCTGGGCAAACCTCAGAATTTGTTAACCAAGTGTTAGAGAAGACTGCAGAAGGGAATCCCACTGGAGGCCTTGTAGGATTAAGGATACCAACATCAAAGGTTTAATCAGCCTCATTGGACCACTGGTCAGAAATGTCTGCGTTTTGTCACGTTATCAATTGTAAATTTTCATTCTGTTTTGCATGTCAGTTAGCATTATGTAAACATTTACAATTAGGTTACATTGTTTTAAGAACTAAGTAGCATAAGTGAAGCATGATCCAAAATACTTGATTATTGCATTTTCAGAGCATAAACCATGATTAAAACTGCTACTGGCGTCAGAATTGAAAATCATAGTTTAAGTAAATGTTTAGGTACAGATTACAAAAATCTGTTAAATCAAAACATTTTGGAGGAGTGAAATAGTAAAATGCCAAGTATTGTGGCAGATTTATGCTCTGAACCACACACACAAAAAATTGAGGAAGCATTTTTTTAAACGGTCGGTTTAAATTGTTTTTAGAATTATTGCTTTTTGTTCTAATTTTCCACAACCATTAATCTCACTTGTATATGGCACACCCAGCACTTGTGCCTGTGGGCCATATTAGATGTTCATTGTCAGAGCTCAAGATGATATATATAAATATATATATATATATATATACACACAAATGTCTGTGCAAGTAAGAAAAAAAAAAGCATATTCTTTGTGCCTTGTATTTTGGGGAAACTATAAAACTGGTAATATTTTGTATGATGAAAACCCTAATGAGAAAAAAACAAGATATATAGATGGAAAAATTATGGGGTTTAAATGTTTTTTTGTTCCAACTCTTTTTCAGATTTTTTGAATGTATATAGGACTATGTTGAAATGTAGATATATGCCACAGAGTCTGTGTATTGTATAAAAAACAAAACAAAAAAAAAACAAAAAAAAGATGGCTCTAGAAAACTCATATTTCGGTACTTGACCGGAAGAAGACAAATACTTGCACATTATTGCGATTGTTTTATTTTTTGTACCAAAGACAAATGCAACTGATATGGCAAACTGCCAGTCTAAGTAAAGTTTTGCACAGCTTACATGATACTGTATGAATGTATGAAAAAAAGGAGAAAAAAAAGAAAAAAAAAGGTCAGGGTTAGGGATCTTACTGAACTGTGAATTTTATTTCTGTTTGGGTCCAATTATCTACAGAAGGAGCATCCATACATACAAATATTATTTTGCTGTTCCTCTAGTTCGCTTCCATAGTAGATAAGTTGGTGGCCATTTAGATGTCTTTTATTTCTGCACTTACTGTAGGAAATTTTAATATATTTCATTTTAGTAAGCTATTGGTAAAATAGTTTTTGACTTTGAAAATTAAAATGTTTATTTAGCTTATTGTAGTATACTTCCACCAGACAACAAAATAGATTATTTTTATTGTATTATGTATATATATATATGTAAAGAAAGAAAAAAGCTAAAAATATCTGATTCTTTAGTTGCCACTTTTCCAATTGATGTATTATTGTGCATGTAATATTTTCAAAGATCAACACAGGCTTAAAACAAAAACAATTTATAGATTTTTATATTTTTGTACAGGTATTTTCAAACTAGCTTCTTCAAACTTAACATGTGACTTATTCTTCTATAGTTTCTAGAATTGAGAAACATTAACACATTTAGTTTTTAGGTGCTCTTTTTTGCTCATATAAAACAGCTTCATTAGTCAGTGTTTTAACTGTGTTCAAGCTTTACCTCTTGATGAGAAATTTCTTATGTCAAGGCAGCATTATAAACCTTCCCCCACAGATTTTTCCATCCTGTCTCTCTTAACTGTTTTATTCTCAAATCTTGTGTTTTGAACTCTGAAAACTGGTGGCTTAAAAACTAAAAAAAGAAAAAAAGCATATTTAGCAAGGAAAAAAATACCAAAAATTTCAGGCACAGCTGCTGGTAAAATTATCTATTTCTCCATTACCCACTGTAGGATTTCTTTTTAAATTATACTTTGACTATAAAGTGTCAAAGTATAATTTGTTCTTTTCTTTTACTTCTTATACCCTATTTGTAAGCTATAGCATATGAAGCTATAGCTTGTGAAGGTTTGATCTAGAACACCCAGTAACAAATGAACAATGTTGCTTACCTGCATCTGTGACATCTTAAAAAAGAAACCCAAGAAGAATTGTAAGGATTGTCTTACCACCTTAGCTGAACTGTGATGCACAAGATTTTTCTGTGTGTTTGGTGGAAATGTACCTGGTTAGGACATTCACGCTAAACAGATGATAAGCTCAAGTCTAATGGTTTAATAGAATGTAAGTTCATTGTTTAAAGCTTTTCCTTTTTAGGTGAGAGAAGCAAAGCACAGGCTTGCAAGTTGGAAGTATATGAAGTCTTGACAGAATGTGTCTGGTAAATTGAAAAGTGTTTCAAACTATGGCAGTTTTGCAATCAGGTGAAAATCACCTCATGATATTCAGCTGATAAGGTTTATAGAATTGCCCCTTTCTAGCTGCTCTGTTAGAATTCTGGTTTTTGATACTTTTTTCCGGTCTGCAAACCAGAATTTGATTTTTTGGTCTTGCATTTCAAAAAAAAAGACTTTGAATCTGTTTAGTAGATTCCATATCCTTGAGTTTCAGTGTTTTATATGTACTACTTAAGTTAAATAGTTAAAAGCTTTTAAATAGTTGAGCTTTTTAATGTTGACACTTTATTTTGTACCTATTTATATATGTATGTATATCTTAGAAAAGCACTTTGTTAAAAAATTGCATTTTATATGATTCCTGCCATTTGCTGCTAAATCTGGGCTGGTCAGAATGCTGCAGCGATACTTGATCTATATAAAAACCTGGCAGTAAAATGTAGAGTGAAAGTTAAATCCTCTTGCTGTTTTAACTTTATCATAAAGATGACATAGGCAAGCTGTGCAGCTTTACATTTTAACCAGGGGACTCTGTGGCATTTAAAACCGTCTAGAAATGGTTGTACTTTAATGCCAGTAATAATCTGCTTCCTCTATTGTCATTAAAATATATACGTTTAGTGTATCACACAAACCAATCTTATAAGGGTAATGTAAAAACCCCAACAATTGTACATGTTCTGTTTTTGAAAATTGTGGCATGTATTTTTGGGTGAAGATCATTAGAGAAGAGTTCTCTAAAGGTTTTCTGTGTTCATACATGGTATACAGATAGCTCATAATGAAGTCCAGAATCTTACTTTAAGTGAAGGCATTGTGAATTCACCTCAAGTAAACCCATTGTTCCAAAGCAATTATAAACTTTGACTCTAGTACTACTATGATTTTAAAAAAAAAACCAACAAAAACCTTTTTTCCTAGTTTCAGATACACTGGATTCTTTATAGAGTTTGTCTCCATATGAAAGCATGCTGTCCAGTCGCTCTTGTTAAGATCTTGTCTGAGTTTTGAATTGGGTGCCACACTTTTCCAGTCAATATAATTGCTTGTTCTACTGTACCATGTATGATTCTTGTCCTTTCCTATATCCTTCATGACAGATTATGATGTGGCTTTATATTGTGCCTTACTTGTACATTTAAAACTAAACGTCTTCATTCCCTTCCACTTCCTACATCTTTAACTTTGACCTTTTTGGTAAGAGAATCAGAACTATTACAAAAGCATCATGAAGGATTTCAGATGGGTATGGTTTCAAATTCCCTCTCTTTATAGTTATTTTATATTTGTATGAAAGACCAGTTTTGGATGGTCTTTGAATATGAGGGGGAAAGATTAGCAGTAATTTCACTACATCCCTTTTCTCTGACTTTCATGCATTTCTCATACATCTTCTTTCTGATGCTTGACTTTATTTGCTTCCTAGCAATAGTCTGCATTTAAAGAAAGGTGTGTTCAGTTCATCAGCTTGAAATTGACTATTTCATTTTTCCAGGATTTTTTAGGAGAAGAGTACCCATTTTGTTTTATAAAAACAGATGACAAGTCTCTTTAAAAGAAACAGAAGTACAGTACTTTTGAAATACAATGCTGTTAGTTTGGATTTCTTTTTATATATATATATAATATTCATACAATGATCTGATGTTTGCCTTCATTAATAAAGCTGTTAGTTTATTCACCAAAATGTCAAGAATGGATGTGCTTTTCTTTATTGCATACGTTTAAAAAATTTAGCTGCTAAGATTTAGTTAATGTTCTAATAAATGAATTCAAGTTGCCTTCAGCAAGAATTAACAAAAACTACGTTCCCTTTATATAGTTTCCTAAAATTCTGTTCAAGTATTTTCTAGTTAATTATGTAACAGAATGTTAGCATCTCTCCATATCTTGAAACTTGAATTTTGAGAATGCATTGAATTATGCTTTCAGTGTTAAAGTAAAAGGTTTCAATTATCCTTCTAGTGAAGTCTGTTGTGGAATACCATTTCCCATGGAACTGAGGCCATTTCCACAACTTTGCACAGAACTTGCAGTCTTGTTCTTCCCTTGGATCATGACAAATAAGTCTCACACAGTGCCGTAATACTTGTGGATTCTTTTGTAATCTTTGTAATCTTAATAAGGGCATTATGAGAAGACGACTCCATGTTTTTTTAATACTTCAAACACATTGGGATGTAACAATGAATGTCAACTGTAGGAATGGTTGTTTCGTTTTAAGGAATAAGCATGTTGGGGAAAGATGATGAAAATGTACTACTGAAAGTTATACACTTCCATAGGCAAATGGGATTATGTGTTGAAGCATAGTCCTCATGCTTAATAAACTGACTGAAATTGTAGAAATTACACCTAGGAACTGAGCTAGGTCAAATTGCCATTTTTGTTTAGATAAGAGAGTTTTGGAGGTAGTAGTGAGGGGTTACAACCTTAAAACTGCTTCCAAACAGTATTTTGGAATTGAAGACTTGGTGACTAGTGAAGAACATCAAAGTTGGGTATTTCAATGTGCCAAGTTTGGGTGAACTAGGTTCGGTTTGCCTCTTTCATAACAATGTAAACACAATGGTGTAGTTAATTAAATTCTGGGTGGATAGGAGCAGGACTGATTACTGTGTCTTGCTCTTCGCCCTGTTTTTTTCAGAACCAAATAACAGAAACGTATATGTGTGTACTGTATCTGCCTTTCCACCACATTTTTATGACACTGTATTCCACTGCCTGCTTTTTTACCTTCTTTCCCTAGGGTTTGTCCTACAGCTTAGTATTGTGGTTGACAACAATACTAGGGCTGACAGCACAGAAGTCACAAGAGAAGAGTGGAAGGGCAAGAATTCAAAGCATTTGTTCATACAATGTGGCAACCTCTTTTGCATAGTTGCGTAGGATCCTGTTTGTAATGCTATCATAAATATTCTGTAGTTTTGTTTTTTTTTTTCTCTCTCCCAACTGGAGCTATGACACTTTTTATTGGATTCAGTCTTGTCTCTTGTCTAGAAAGAACTTTATCTTGTTGACGCATGAGCTGTTTAAAAATTATTCTATTAAATGTTGGTTAATAGTTGTGCAGTTTTTCATTTCAGAAGGAAAGGCAATGCGAATTTTGCCTTTGTTTTCTGTCACCTTCCAATCCCTGAGCACTTCTAGTCAGATACAGATTCATCAGTGTATGCAACATCCTTTGTAATTTAAAATAAAAAAAGATGAAAAGAAAAGGTTCTGAATTGTTTGCCTCGTATTTTCACCCTTCCTTTCTGTACTTGTATCTTGCTTACCTAGGTAACCATCCACTCCTCAAGATAACCTATTCCAAAGAAATTCCAAATCACAGAGAGTGGAGAACTGCTGGTCTGCTGCTCCTCTCGTGGTGATAATCAAAGAGCTAACATTTTTTTTGACACGATAGGTTGATTTTTCAATATTTTACTGATATTTAGCTATTACATAGAATTATTTGTTGATACAGGCATTTGCATTCTTCACAGTTTAGAGGATATTCTTATTTCTCCTCTTTGAATCTTTGGGCAAGTGTTCTCCATGGGAAATAAAATACTTGGGGTCTCTCCTGATTTAAACATTTGTATGTGTTTGTGTGTTTAATCATTCTAAGTAAGTCTCCAAGCTAAGCTGGGCATACACATAGAGCCTTAAGTCCAGAGACCTAAGTAAAGGCTACCATCAGAGTATGTGGCTGAAAGTCAGCCAGCAAATATTTGTTGAGCACTTACTCTGCCAGGACCTGTGCTAGGTACTGGGCAATAGAGAGATGAAAGAGAACTCCCGGAACTCACAGCCAGCATGTGAACAGGATTGCTGAACAACACAGGAGCTGTTACAGCCATGCAAAGGGCTCCAGGTACATTATCGTTGCCGAGGTGTTTTCAAGGACACAGGTACCACATCTAGTGGCATATATTAGAGAATTGATAGACTTGTGTTCTTAGTATCCTGGACCCTTGAGGAAACCCTCTTTGTTTCATGTGAGTGACACTGGGGCCATCAAGAAACAAAGGGGAGGGACATGACCTCCCATGGACTGGTTCTGCATCAGGACTTACTTCTCAAGACCACTGCTCACAGGAGCCTCTGTCAAGGTCTTGAGACTGTTAAAGGGCTGGGTGAGCCAGATCAGTATAGTCCTTAGGAAACTAAACCTGTGGATAGCATCCAGTTAGATGGGTCATTCAGTTGGTGAGCTGTTTAGCCACAGTACAGTGGAGAATTTGAAGAAAAAAAAAAATGGCTGGGAAATACTATAATATCCCAGCTAAAAGGTTCAGAGCAGGAAGAAGGTGTTAGCCCTAGGGGAGGGAGTGGCATTCCTTAAGGACTCCACTAGGTGCTTTTTTGTTACAGCAAACTCAGCTGCTACTCTCAAGGACCCAGTGAGGCTGGTGGTCATGTACATTTTACAAAAGAGACTAGACACAGGTGAGGAGACTAGCCCCAGACCTACCTTATATGATTACAGAACTCCAAACTCAGTTGGCTTGCTCCACTACAGAAATAATTCGTATTCATCTATTTGGGATCTATTCATCTATTAGGCCAAGTCGCAGCCAGTATTTGGAAGGACGTCTCTGTAGCGGGGGATAAAGGCCTTAGAATCTGAAAACCAAAAAGAAAGCCAAAACCTAGCAGATAAACAAAAGCTAGTCTCAGGATCAGTGGGTAAAGGTGATAGGGGAAGCAAAACAGAGTTGAGAGGAAGCAGTAATTGGGTGTAATGATCACCAGACTGCATATCTGTTCCTCGAAGATGGCCTCTAGCTTAAGGTTTAGGATTGGGTCTCCTTATTGGAAGGAAGTATATTGGAGGGTAGAGAAAAAAGGGAGCTTATGTTTTTTTCCTTAACTGCAGCATAGAGATGCAACTGGGGACTGTTGATTGCATACGTTGAATATCCAACAAGAAGCATGATGTGAAAGGATCCTAAGGGCATATGCGCAAGTCTGCCAACTGCTGCTGGCTTTGGGGCTTCTCTGCTGTCCTAAATAGGGAGCTTCTATGTGAGTATCCAAAACACTGGAGTGACCTGAAGAAAGTAAACCTCAGTTTCTTCACAAGGTTTTAACCTTAAAATATTACCAGGAATAAACTTTATAGAATAACTTAATAACTAATAATAGAAAATGTATACAAGGCCTAGGATAAAGAAAACTTTGAAAGTACTGTGAAGGACACAGAAGGAAACTGAAATAAATTGAAAGATACACCAAGTTCTTAAACAGGAGCAGTGACATAAAACTAACAGTGCTAAGTTAAATTAAAAATAAAATGTTGCTAAAAAGTGTAATGTCATCCTAAGAAAACATACCAAGAGGTTATAAAAAAGTTTACGCAGGGATAAAATCGCTGGAAGATGCTGGTAGGCAGTGGGGGTGAGGGGGCAGTGATGCGGGGGACAAGGGAAAGAGGTATTTAATCCTAGCAGATATTAAAAGTCATTATAAAACCATAGTAGTTAAAACTCATTTTGATGCATGAATAGGCCAGTCAAGCAGAATAGAAGGTCTAAAAGTAGACTCAAATATACACGACAATTTAGTATGGCAAATGTGGCATCCAGAACCAGTGAGAAAAAGGTAGACTCTTCATTAAATAGTATTGGAATAACTGAGTAACCTCCCGAAAAAGTAAAATTGGGTGTATATCTCACACCATAAGCCAACATATATTTCAAAATAGATAAAGATCTAAGTGTAAAAAAAAAAAAGTCACAAAAAACCACCCATAAAAACACTATAAGGAAATGTGGGCAATTCCTTTAAATCCCTGTAAGTGGAGAAGGCTTTTCCAACTTGGACCCTGAATCCAGGAATCATAAATGAAGATTGATAAATTCAGTGTAAAACAAGATTAACAAAATGTTTAATACCAAAACACCATAAGCCAAATCAAAATTCTATAGACTTTTTAAGGCTGTAGATGTCTTAAAAAAAAAAAATGAAAATAGAAAAGCTTTGAAACTCATCTCTAAGGACTAATCCTCCTAATATATGGAGTTCCTGGGAACGGATATGAAAACCAACAACCCAATAGAACAAGGAGCAGACAACAGAATAAATACAAATAGCTCTGAAGCATAGGTAGAGTTTCTCAGCCTCCTTCATGGTCAGATAAGTGCAAACTAAAGAAGCCCTTTTCACCTAATCAGATCGGCAAAACTTCCAATGTTTGTTAACCTATCATGTTGACGAGGCCACGGGAAACGGGCATTTATGCCATGTTGCTGGAGGGAGTTTGGATTGACATAATCCCTAGGAAGAGCAATTTGGTAATACGTCAGAATTTTTAAATGCATATATCCTTTGACCTAGCAACTCCATTTGCTGTGGGCAAGTCATTATTCCTCTCTGCCCCGTTTTTATCTCACAGAGTTGTGAGACTTAAGCGAGACACACATGAAGCACTTAGTACAAAGTTCCTGGCACATAGGAAGTGCTCCCAAAATGTTGGCTAGTAGTAGAATAACAGCAGCTAACGGGCACTGAGATCTTACCATATGCCACATTAGCACACTGTGCTTGGTGCTTTTCATGTATTATCTCATTTAATTATCCAATCTGTGAAGTAGGTGCTATTGATTATCACCAGTTAGCCTCTGAGGAGACTGAAGCACAGGCATGCAGTGCTGTGCACAGGATTTGAGCCCAGGCAGATGCCAAGCCTGGGATACACTGCCTCTCTATTAGGTGCAGTGGGGTGATGAATACCTTACGAGAGGGTGTGTAGAGGCCTGTAGGAACACAGACAAGCACAGAGCCCTGCTTACAACAGGTGGGAGCCATATTGATTTTTTGGGGAAAAGATGGCTTTCAGTAGAGGCTGTGCCACTTTCAAGATAGGTAATCTTGCGACAGGGTTAATTGGTGGTTATTTTAATCTACTTTCAGCTCATCTCCTGAAGTGTGATACTAGTGTAGTGCAATTTCAAGGGTGGTTGTGAGGATTAAGAGAGATGAACATTCAGGTCCTAAGCATTTAGGTCCTCACAATCTATTCTTGCTGAAGTGACCTGAACAAAAGCAGATGGAGTGGGGTCGAGTCGGGGAAAAGCTTTCCAGGGAGAGGGAACACCACATTCTAAGGCTACACATCCAGAAAGAGCTTGAGCAATCCAGGAAGGGCGCAGGGTGGGGTGGCTGATGACCTTGAGGACCAGCTAAGAAACTTGGATTATTTACTAACAAAAATAAAAGAGCCACCATTTGTTGAGGGTTTCCTCTGACATTTCCATCAAAACTACGTAAATCCATCAAAACTACGTAAATCCATCAAAACTACCCCAGCAAGGTAGATTTAATAAATCCAGTTGTATACAAAAGGGAACCACCAGAAGCCATAGAAGGGCTGCATACAGGGAGGCGACTTGATCAATTTCGTGTTTTACAAAGATCCCTCAGATCATGTGTTGGAGTGATAGGAAGTACTCTACTGACTCTACTGAACTCCATACTTTAAAAAATACATAACATTTATCATTTTCTCTTTTACTCCACAATTTATACTCACTGTAGAAAATATTAAAAATATAAGAAAGTTTGAAGAAACAAAAAATTGTCACTTGTACTTTCCAGAGACATCTCAATTGATACTTTTCTTCCAGTCTTTTTTTTCTATGCAAAAAATACATAGTTATTAGAATGCCTGACAGAAGGAAGATGGAAAGAGACCACTGTGAAGCATTATTGATATTCCCTCTTCTCTTCCTCTCCATGGTATTAAGGCCATACCAAGAGGAGAGGCTGATTTCCCTACACGTGTCAGGGAAAGTCCCAACTCTGCGGCAGGGACCCAAGCTTGCCATTTTCGCCGGTCTCTAGGGGGCGCTGCCCCGAGACTGGGCGGGGAGGGCGAGAAGGCGGTGCGAAAACGCGTTTGAACTTGGGCCCTGCCGCCGCCCGTAACCGGCGTCCCCAACATGGCGGCTCCCCAAGATGTCCACGTCCGGATCTGTAACCAAGAGATTGTCAAATTTGACCTGGAGGTGAAGGCGCTTATTCAGGTACTGATCCCGGGACCCCTGCCAGGCTCCAGCAGCCCTAACCCAAGCTCTGCTGGTCTGTGAGCTCGGTAGTGTCACTCCCGAACTTTCCCCACTTGGTTTCCCAGGCCACCGGCTCCGCCCCATGACCGGCTACCCGCCCTGGTCCCCATTTGGTTGTGTCCCCGTGACTGCTGGCCTTGATCCTTTTTCCGGGTGCCGCCGGA